GGTGGCTCTCGTGTACCCGCAATACGGACAATACCTGTAGTGCTCGCCCCTGGCGAAAACGCTACAGATGACGAAGCGCTCTTTGAGCGATGGGTGCGACGGCTCCGGAAACTTTTCTCACTGCACAACCTGCGGTGGAGCCACAAAGAAGTGGACGTGCGTGTGGAGCGGCACCTCCGATTTCAGTTCGCCAAGCTCAAGGCACGCCGTCGACTTCCTTCGGATTGTCGCCCTGCAACGTATGAGTTAACAGCTCCTAATGCTCCCACGAGCTCTGTGTCCACGACCACAAGAGCTCAGGCACTGCTTGTGCTTAACCCATGGTCCTTCTACTTCCCTGGCTATTGCCGGGAAGCGCGGGGCATCTGATGACGCGGGACGTCCTGATCGTTTCGATCAAAAGCGTTCACGGTGACTGGACAATCTTCCCGTAGTGGCGCCTCTAACTCCCACGAGTTTTCAGAGTCGGGATATCCCCGCCACTTCACAAGAGATTGGGTTTGACCCTGGTGACGACGTCGTCTCACCTGACGTTCCACGTGATAGTGGACGTCACCGTTCTCATCGAGAAGAGTCGGTGGCGGGCGGTGACAAACGGGTCGACCGCCGCCCGATGACTCGTGATGCTCTTCGAGTCTTTGAGGACCAGGTCCGTCGTGATCGTCGCTCCGCTGAGCGCCATGTTGACGTAGCATATCGCTGTGTGGACGCTCTTGACGATTTAAAGTACATCGTGCGCCAGCTGCCTCGCCTTAAAGACTACCGCGCTCTGTCGGAGCGACTCCTAGCCGTGGAGCAGGAAAATGCGTCGCATGGTGCGGCGGTGGAGCGCGTGGCGCCGTTAGAAATGAGGAACTGCTAACCCCGCAGTCTTCGTCTTGACATGCAGCGACTGCTTTGATACCGGAGCAGCGCTCAGTGGTTAACGTGCCACAACACGTGCATTAAGAGGGTCTCGACCTCGATGCCTCGGCCCTCGGCCGACCATGTCACACATGACATGCAGCGACTGCTTTGAAACTTGAGCAGCGCTCATGGTATACGTGCCACTTCACGTGGATCAAATGGACCTCGCCCTCGATGTCTCGGCCCTCGGCCGACCATAATCACGCATGACATGCAGCGACGGCTCCGAAACTCGAGCAGCGCTCAGGGGTTTACGTGCCACTCGACGATCAGCCCGCGAGCCACGCTCGGGACTCCTGTCCAGTGCATCATTGGTATCTACCAACTCGGACATTCCAATGTCTAGCACGTTGACCATCTCAGTCCAGTGCTATCGCCAATAGTGATTTGTCTCTCAGCAGAGGTGGGGTGGGTACATGAATCGCCACAGCTCCGCCAGGAGACTTGCGCGTAGCGCCCAAGGTCGTTGACCGTAAATCAAACCATGGTTCATGGTGCTCCAACCATGACATTTCTAGGATAAGGTCATACCTTGCACCCAAGTTTAAGACTTGACAGCGTTCGACGCTATCAAAGTCAAGAAACTTGACTCCGATGTCCACAGGGACCTTCGGGACCGTGACACGCGTCCCCGTCGCTAAGCGAACAATGACGATGTCACCCAACCGCGCTCTCAGCGCCTCAGTATACAGCTGAATTAACTCCCTCGTGGAGCGTCGAGCATAATTGCCCGGCGCCCTAGAATCGATGAGGACATTCCATTGCTTTTCGAAGCCCTTTACGGTCGCCTCCACAACCAGCAAGCCCGGCTTGCATACACGTTCCGTGTTCAAGAGCACGGAGCTCTTCGGGGCTGTGCCCTGTTGACGTCTACCTCCCTGAGGCTCAACATAACTCAGTTCTTCCCCAGTAGGTCACCCCGCGCGCCTACTGAGTGGTGTCGTTTCCCCGCGACGAATCAGACTAGTAGGCGCTGGGGCGATGGTTCGAAGAACCTTGGCGCGCCTTGCGCAAGGGGCAACTGTTTCGATGGCGACGGGTGTCTCTACCATCCGCATCGATTCTAGTGTACTTATGTGTACATAATGTATTGTGATATTGATAATTGCCTATGTCAGCAGCCTGACGGTACGAAGTAACTCTATTCGATATTACACACATCTTGATGCCATGCGTCTTGCACATTGCCTCGACCTCCTTCGAGATATGAGCTCTCAACGAGCGCTAATCGAAACTTTCCGTTGGTGGTATTTACCATAGATAGCTGCAAATCTATTCAGCGCTTGAGCAGTGAATTGTCAATCCACGTCTTCTTCTGGTACGTGACGTACACTCTATCTTTTTTTCCAAACTATCCTTGTCAGCTCCTTTTCCATATCAAAATTGGAGGCAGTATTGAGAGAAGGATCACTCGACGAGCACCAACAACGTCAACTGTCTGGTAGCGTGCGTCTTCAAAGTACACGGCAATCTTATCCATCAATGCTGTCTGGTCGAGATCCATACGCGGCTGTTGGTCTTGCAGAAATCGCATTATAACTAAGTGCTCGTTCGATAAAAACTTTGTCGGTCAGAATGGTGAAGTTGGTGCAACGACGTAGTGAGATGCAAATTTGAAACTCAGTGCTATGACGCATTTAATTTTTACGTCGTCAGTGCGGAGAGATGCTTGATGGTAGCACTCATGTCGGAGATCCAAGAATTATTTTTTTTTGTAGATTTTATCGCAAAGTGGTGTTAGATAAAAAGACGCAACTGGTGTGGTTTGGCCGCCATGATGTCCGCTTGTATTTGCCACCATTTACTGACTGCATTGCTGTCCACAGCAAGACTGAGAGATTTACTCTATATACTTCAATATACATAATAACTTTTCTACCGCCACATCGGGGCCTTTTGCCATACCTGTCAGTGGGTGTTGGGTGCCACAAATCAATAATAAAATCGAGTGTTGATTTTCTGACGTGGCAATCAGCCAAAACGATTTGTCCTGCCTTTCATGATAGGTGTAAAGTTTTGAGGGGCTTTATTCGGAATTGGACTCTAATCGGGAAAATCCGTTACTCATTTATTTGCCCTGTCAAAACAGTACATATGCAGCCATAGCTTTAAATATTCGCAGTCCGACTATCAATATTTACGACGCCGATGTGTAGAAGTGGAATTGATGGTAATAGTTCAAAATGGCAGTCGCTCCGAAACGGAATAGCTTTCCAATTCCAGGTACACAGTCCACGATGTCCGCAGCCTGTAAAATACAATCACGCTGATGAGCATAACGCAGGAGCAAGAATGAAACGCTAACATTAGATCTTTACCTTATCCGACACGGGCTTTGTGACAGTCGCAAATACCGGATCGCGAAGTAAATACAGAAGCAGGGCCATCTTGCAACATACAAGTCATCGGTCAGAACGATATCCGCACACGATTTGAATTTTAGATACCTTTCGAGCTGCTAACTCATTTGTAGCCTTGTCACTGTAAGCCTCCTCGACGAGTTCAACCTGCTTGACTGCAACCGTAGAAAATGCTAATCTGAAAAGTAATAGACAACAAATAACATCATTGGGAGTCTTGATTCCATAAGTTGCATGCCTTCTTGCAGCACATACCCCGTCAGTTCGACAACAAGCGATAAGAAGACAGGAGTCCAGGAATTCGCGCTTCGTCGACGTCGCAGCAGTGCGTAAACTACAGGTCGCAAAATGTGGCAGACCTCTCCTGCAATCAGAAAACTATCTCGTGAGCTTTTTGCAAATTCAATCGTCGCGTCCTGGATCATAGCACGACAGCAAAATATTATGATATCTTGCACCAGCTTAAAAAGTGGCTAAATGTACCTCAAACGAGATCTTGTTTGATTTGTCGGCACTATTTTCCACAACAGAATTCATTTTCGGCTCAATTGCTGCTGACAAACAAAGCAACATATGAATGCGACATGATATATAACACGCTCATAATTCTTACGCTTGCTGAGACTTTTGCCTGTACGGGTACCAAGCTGCTTAGCTTTTGTAAAACGTGCAAACGTGGGTGACCGAGGTCCAGACTCTACGCCATTATACTAAAGTTATGTAGACACTTGCTCGTTATGATTCCTCATGGCCTCGTTGCACTCATTAAAACTTACATTGCCACCACGAATCAGCATTAGACGACGACGCTGAGCCAGCAGAGTGAGGCGTAGCCCAGCCTTAACGACTTCAATCCACACAATAAGGCGCCATTTGCCTACATCGCCACCGACTCGACGAGCGACGACCTCCGCTAGCACTTCGACGTATGAAATGAGAGAAAGAGGCACACGAATCAATCTCGTCAATCTTCAAGAGAATAGTTAGGCATTCAATCTCTCAGATTTATCAAATCACCACGCACTTTTGCCAATAAGTCGGTAAATTCGTTTTCTTGTTGTATTTCTTCCATAGTATATAGTCATGATACAGATGCAGCAATCTTACGAGCGAGTATCCAAACTGCGCCACCGTTTCTGGCTCCATGACGTTTTTTGGCACGAGCTGCGGTGCTACATACAAAGTTGTCTCGACATTGCGAGCCAAGCTCGCGTGGCTGCCCACCCACGCTTCGTAAGCAGCAAGCAGAGATGCAAGTTTACGAGAGAAAGAGACGCGGTGCACTGTGGTCGTTATCTTCTTCACTATCGTAAAATTTTCGGCTCCTTTTTCTATTCTAACTTCCTCATCCACCTTCTTCGACTTGCTTTCATCCGTCATTTAGCCGTGTTTAAGATTGTTTCTTAATTTTTTCTGTATCATTCAAGTAAATAACGCAATATCTAGGAAATTAATGATGATTGATTGCGCCAAAGCAATACTGGTGGCATCGCAGCCAGACCTTGAGGTAACCTGCGCTTTTGTCGACAATGCGCAGCATATTGAGCTCTTGCAGAAGACGTACCGCATCAATGGTTCATTTGAGCGGTCCAAGTCGACATCCTCAGCAACCCCGAGGCTGCGCTTGGCACTAGAAGAGATAGTAGTTGGTATTGCTAGAGGTTTTCTGCGCCTAGAACCGGCAGCAATAAGTTCTGGTGGTAGTAGCAACCACAAAGACGAAGGTCGTGCTTACATCGAGAAGGTTGCGCAGGAAGTGGCGGAAAGTAGAGGGGTTAGTGGCGATTCGAGGTGGACACTTTGTAAGACTAGTATTGCAAATTTGAGTCGAGGTGACTACAATTTTACTCAATTGTTGCAGCACCGCAGCGTCGCGATCAACTTCGAATTTTTTTAGATTTATGGGATAAAGGATACATCGTGACATTTGGCTCCAAGTTCGGTGCGAATTTCCTCATTTACAAAGGTCAGTAGCGACACGTTAGCACATCAGTCCGGACTCAGCTTGTAATTCCTTAGTGTCGATGCAGATAGCCCCAAACGCACACATGCGGTAGCGTTGATTGTGGTCAAACGATACGAGGAGGAGTTTGATCGTGTGGATGTTGTGAGTTTCTGTCGTGTAGCGAAAATGGTTAAAAAGAATTTCTTTTTTGCTTGTGTACGAACAAATGAAGACTACGAGACTGGATACGAGCAATTCGGAGAAGGTAAATTCAGTGAACAAAAAGTAAAAGCAAATACTGTTGTGTACGTTTCTTTAACGCATGCGCTGCTGGTATCGCGCCAAGAAGCAAGTGAAGAATCGACATGATGTATCTAAAACAAAGCACAACCGGCCTGTAAGCATACCAGCTTGGACTAAACGCTGCACTTGTCGTTTTCTGCCGAGGAGAAAGTCATAAATTTCATTTCGTTTTCCCAAAGTTTGTTAGCGATCTGCGCTATGCAATCGGAGTCAGCAGAAATCTGAGTATTTTGCCGCAAGTCGAGACCAATGATAGTGCTACATGTATTTTGCTGCAAGCTTTGAAGTAACAAATTCCCATCATTTTCACTAAATGCGTTGCTGCTCAGATCTACCGATCGAAGTGCAGTTTTTGTGTCGCTTAATATTCGAGCCAGGACTTCAGCAGTTTCTCTGCCTAACATGTTGCTGCTCAGGTTCAAATTACTTAGCGATGCATTAGAGTCTAGGCCTTCCAGCAGCATCCGCCCTCCGTCGTCTGTTAGGCGATTCATTCGAAGATCCAATTCTATAAGGCTGGTGTTGTACTTAAGTCCGCGACCAAGGTACCGCCCCCCTTCGGCGTGTATCTGGTTATCACACAAATTTAGAGATGTGATTACACAATTAGGCCCAAGAAGCTTGGACAGCAGTCTCGCGCCGTCATCGGTAATCTTATTGTGCGACAGATCCAGAGAAGTGATGCTTGTATCATTTACTAGTCCAGTCATAAGCATCCGCAACAAATCATCGTCCAGAAGATTGCTGGGTAGCAGCAATGCTGTAAGTGAGCTTGACATCGTTAAAAGATGTGACAAATTTGTTGCATCCGATATCTTCATTCCGAAAAGCATACGCTCGTACTTCATGCCAATCTGCTTTACTCCGTATACCAATCGAAGTTTGGTCAAGTTACACAGCTGAGAGCAGACTTGATTCAAATCAAGGTGAGATAACAGTTGGTCAATCTCTAGCGTGAAGATGTACTCGCTCGAAGCATTTACAATAGCCATAACGTGACTTAAGTCATGGATAGAGAAATCAAAATTTTCAAGAAGATCCTGCAAATGCTTCTCAAGAAAAAGCTGTTTCCACGTGAGTCCGTGGTGAGTAATCTGAATGTTCTTCCACTGCTTCTTACTCAGGCAACAGCGCTTCCAGTAGTTCTCATCAGTCACATTTGGCGCAGTCAAGCACACGTCAAGGTCCAATGGCAGTCGAGCCATGACCTCAGGCAGAAATTCACGCGGCACGTTTTCCGCTTTTGGGTGTCGGTTGAAGCAGTCAGAGACAATCTTAAGACACATGAGCAGTAGCGACGGAATAGGCGGTATTGAGCCAACATGTTTATGATCATAGTCCGCCGATTGTACGACGCGAGCACGGTATTTCGTTACCTGGTCAGACAATGCGCTTACATCCGTTGTCGTGCCGACCGTACATGCCAAAACCATATTTATTTTTTCTTAGGAACAGCGACTACTTAACCTAGTAATATTACTATAGCAGTCGGTAGCATTTGACACACTAACTTGCCCAACTTCAACATGACTTCAAAGAGTGATGGTTTCTCGGTTTCCGCTGAAGTCCGCAATCATTTCACACTACGAAAAAGTGTTGTTGATGGCGAAGACTAACTGTGTAGATGAAGCAGATGTCTCCATGCCGACCTTGATTGAAGGCGAGATTGGAGAGCTGCGTAAATACATTGGTGCTTTTTACCCTCCTATCTTCAACAGCTTGTAACGTCATTCACGGAGTATTAATGCAGTCGAGATGATGCACGCTGAGACTATACTGCTGGAAAGCATCAAATTGAATGAGCATGACGTGGCACGAACGAATGCTCGCATTGGATATTTTAAGGTCATCTCAGTAAAACTGGCAAAGATCTGACATACTATTTTTCAAGGAATTGTTTTTTCATCTGACAGGACTTGATCGCTCAAGAACGGGCGCGGTACAAATTGCTGAATGAAAGATTAAAAAGCGACACAAATGAACTTAAGACTCTTGAAATGAAGCTAGTCGGTAAGGATGGGATGTATTTCATTCCTGCTGCTGATATCTCACTGACATCAAGAAGATGCTGAGAAAAATAATAGAAAATTTAAAGGTTAGTGACTTATTCGCGGAGTCTATGGTAAAAAACTACAGCTTGTATCGTTTAGATAACATCACCCAACATGAAAGTGATGTGAAAATGCTACGCTCACGATATAACCAACTGCGCGCCGCTATGCTCGGTTTGAGGTGCCAAATCTTGGATGCCACTACAAATCTGGGCAAATTATCACTAAAACGGGAGTTGTTGGTTAAAGAGACACAAAATGGTGCTTATTTGATACAGCGAGGAAGAGGCATTAAATACTCATCTGCACCTTTGTTTGGTATATGCAGCCACAATCGCCATCAATGAGTGCCCTGAGCCATCAGCACAGCGCATAGATCATCAAACTCTTCGGGCTAAGATCAAATGCACGCAACAACTCATAGCTCAGATAAAGGAAGAAAATGGACAGCTAAGCAAAAGGCGTGCTCAGCTCGAAGACGAGATTCATCAGTGCGAGGAAGATACTTTCAAGCTGTATGATTCGATTTCAATCAAGGAGAAAGAGACCGAAATCTTGTTTAAACGCTTGCGAAGTAACACTTTCTGCATTATTAAAGAAAACGGTAATTCGAAAAACTAATGATGGAGGTGTGCAGCTCGAGTTCTGATTGTTTGATCGGTTCAGCAAAGATCGAAGGCAAAGTGAAGACTAAACGCAGAAAATGTAATCTGAAGATAAAAAATCAGATAAACACTCTCAAGCGCCGAATCTTTTCTATCAAGTGTGGTATGGAGGAGCTCTTGCTTGATGTACAATAATGACGCTGACGCATTGCAAAAATACTATAGAGGTCGATAAGGGTCAAATGACAAACGAGGACACCCTTTCATGTATCGGTGCCTTATCAACGAAACGCGAGGACTTGGAACAGAGGTGACAATGTTGTTCACAGTTGGTGTAGTTTCACTAAGCTTTGCATTTTTGACCTGTTCAGCTTAATCGAACGGGATGAGCAAATAGCCGCCGCCGAAGTAAATATAATCAGGCAAATTAATCTTTTTTGAGACAGGATTGTTAATTTGCTGAATCCAGGGCACAGTCACCGAGCTGTCTACATCGATAAAAGCATTAGGTCAGAAAAGAGAAGAGTTCGATAAAGTGCATCTCGAAGAAGCCTTAAGTGCAAAGCGTGATGACATCAACGCGATTTTAAAACGGCTGGACGATAAACAGGTGTGTGCTCTTTTAGCTTAATTCTTGTATCATTTACAACTACTCTAACCAAGCAGCAGGAAGATCTCAAGAAAATAGATGCGAACCACTCTCAAGTATGCTGCATCCTGATTAGCCTTGTCATCGAATAGAAACTCATACTGCGAGCAGCTTAATGCAACGTTGACAGATATAAGCACACAGATAATCACTGCAACAGATGCAGCCGAAAAGCTAGATATTGAAATCAACTCTTTGTCCAAAGACATTGAAGACCGAAAAGCAACACGCAGAAGTTTAATGGCATCTATCGATGATGAGAAGAAAAGGAACGACGAACTTCAGGCCAAACACGAAGACAGTCAGCGCGAGAAAGAAAATATTGCTCAAACCCATGCAATGCTTTGTCACCAACGTAGTTCACTGATCGAGTCAGAACAAAAGTTGACGTCGGAAATCAATGCAGCAGAGGTGTTAAGCCAAACCTTGTGGGATGGTATCCAGGTTTGTTTACAAATCACCTTTTTTGTGTATTAGTTTTGTTTTAATTTATCTTTGTAGCATGGGACGGAATATGTCGCGAGACTCCGACAAACGAATGCACTTTTTAAGGAAAAGGATAAATGCGTTGAATTTGAGATTCGACGTCACGAGTTCAGCTTGCAGCAGGAGTGTGCACAAGAAGAATTCCAACTCGAAGCTGATGTTGCTGCTTTGGATGAAAAGGTAGAACTTAACGCACTGAAAACTGTTATTAAGCTTAATATTCTCATGTCCATGCTTAAAGATCAAGCTTGTGGAGCATCAGCTTCGTAGTCTATAGTGAGATTAGATAACAGAGATAGGACAACAAGCACAATTCAGCCATTACTTTTACAATACCACATATTGGGCAATAACACAGTGAGCTTCAAAATAAAAAGTCTTTTGCTTGTTTCTCAAGTGTTCAGCATCAATGAGGCAGATTCAATCAATGTAAACAAACACTCGCAACTGATATGTGATAACTTCATTATCACATTGGGACTCAAATCTAGTTTAGCATGGATCCACATGCGTTTTTGTGATTTGTATATGATTCTCGAGATCCCATGCCGAAATTCATCAGATGGATGAATGACCTAAATATCTTGCGCAACTAAGAGTGCAAATGTCAGGCTTGATTTTTGAGAAAAAAATCTCACAGTCTGATTGTTATTGGGTTCAGAGACCGACTGAAGTTGTCGCTATACGAGATTTCTGGTTTGATACAATGAAAAATAGATCACCGATGTGGACGAGCAGTCACACCCAAAAAGTGTGACTGCCCTGCCTACCCGCATTCAAATGGGTGTGTGATAGTTGAGTGGGTTGGACGCCCCACTAATCGAACAAGCCCCATCGTATAATTCGTAGTACAAATCCCGGGGTTAATACGGATTAGATGGCTACCAGCATCTTGTGCTGGATAAAATAAATCCTAGAGTATGGGTTCCGGTATCATGAATCTTTAGGAGACAGACTTGGGAATCGGTATGTGTTTAAGGTTATTGATCATTGGTCTAGCGACGCGCTGTCCGCCGTGCGGGCGGTTAGTGCATGGTCAGTCCCAATTCATGCCACCCGCTCTTCCAGATCGCTCTACAACCAGTTATGGCAGGAGTTGTTTTCGCGATATTTGTAATGTTAACTCATGTTATAGATGATAGTGTGCTTTCTCCTGCCTTACCCTCCACTGCGTCTGCTATGGTTTGCTCTGTATAAGAGTAACTTATAAATTAAGCGTACTTAACGCTTTGTTGAAGTCAATGATTCGCAACATCTGCGTCTATCGAATATGTTTATTTAAGGTTCAACACCGAACCTTATTCTGCGATTAATGAAGAGCCTTTACTGCAGCGAGGCATGATTCGTACGGATCGCAAAGCGCTCCTCTCCTGGCAAGTACGCACGGAGCTTGACCAAAGCATATCTCATTGCTAGAAGCCCTTAGTCATTAACTAGATAGGTTCGTTTCGCGAGCCAGAGTTGTTCCGATCGATACAAGACACCTTGCTCTTCACAACCATGGTACAATCGCTTGCATCGCCAGCCAAATTGAAAGACATTCCAATGGATTTGTAGTCGCAAGGACAGAAACTTGTCACAAGCTCTTCTTCACTTTGGCAAAGACCACCTGGTGAGCTATTGACCGTTTCCACTCAACGATATTCTACAAAGAGTCGTTAGGGGTTGCACCAATGTTACATAATTGCGCATGCATTTGTGTAAGCAGCTCGCCATGCCCAGCCATTGTCTCAGCTGTTTCACATTGTTCAGCACAGGCCAATCATTTACAGCTTTGATTTTCGTCGGATCTATACAGACGCCAATCTTGCTCACAAAGCATAGGAATCTCAGATAAAAGTCTCGGCAGAGTTGTGCAGGAAGAAAACAAATGCATTTTTATATCATCTCGCATATTTTGGCAGATTTGACGACGATTTTGATGAACATCGAAATCAGACTTATCATTTGTTTTCTTTTTATGGACGATTATAGCGCCAAAGTAATTCTAAAAATCTTGCACATACAATCTCTCGCAACGGACGCTGACGATCCGTATGGGTGTTATTCGTGATAATTCAACAGTCTTAATTGAATACAGCTACCAATAATATTCCTCTACCAGCAAAGAGAACAATGTGTGGGATGCTCTGCAAATCGCTGGTCTCGCTCTTAACGCACCAGCAAGCTTTAACTATCAAAGATGCAGGAACGCCACATCGTGCCTACACAAATACTTATACAGACGATATATTTAACAATTACTGTCAGAGTACCGGGAATTAGATGCAACAATCCACACCGACAATTTCGGGCAGTGTTTTAATTTAGCAATCTTTTCGTTAACTTATTATGATTAGTCGGAAAGCTTTTTCTGCAAGCAGACCATACAAAGATTGAAACCATCGTAACTTTACCATTATTGCGATACAAATGGAACCCAGAAAAGCTGTCTAACTTGTCCAACTACTAAAACAGGTGTAGTGCATATTATGTGTACATGTCAAGTCTCAATAGGCTCCTTAAAAAGGATGAAGAACGGTGCTGATGTGTGGCAATAAATATGCTCTTCACGGCTGTAAATATAATGCGTGTCGTAATTCTGAATCAAATCTCATGTCATCTGTGACACTCCGGTCTTTACCGTAGCCATAGTCTGCGCGCTACTTCAAGCAGACAACAATGGGTAGGAGCTTGTGAATGGGTCTGGTGAATGAGATGACAAAGAATACCTATTTAATCACAAGGATATACTTGTAATGACGTACGATCTCGTCAAATTCAAGGTACACCTGATTTGCTTTTTAGCCATATGGGACCTGTACATACCATGCGGTGTTGCGCACAGAGGCGCCTCTCGCAAAGATTAATACGATAGTTATGATCTTAGGGTACTCTTCTGAGGTGGGATTTTATCTGATCCACTTAATGTGGTAGAGTATGCATCCAGGGTAGGTATGTCACGATGGTGACGTCACACATTAACTTGAGTGTCCGGACGAGATCTATTAGGTTCTGCATAGAGAATAGTTTCGAAAAGCAGGATGTCATTCATCTAGGATACCCTTTTTTAGAAAATGCTTGATACTGAACGTGTGTAACGCTGAACAATCACATAGATATGGCCGGATGGAGCGCATTGATTGCGTGACGTAATGTGCTAAATTTTGTTAGACGATCTACGGATTCGTTATGCCTCGCTGATATCAGCCTGACTACCCTATGGATCAAAGTTGAAGAGTTCATCCCGAGGCCAGCGTTACGCGAAGCACAAGAGGATAGAAATGTTTCATCAAGCGGTATCCAGTTACCTAATTCTGCGACATCGCTACATCTCACCGATTACGGCCGTAACCATAAAGAGAGATGGTTTGTCAAAAATATTTCAGACGCATTTTGTGTTTGACGTAGGCTTACTATAACTAAAAGACGATATCGATCTCGTGGAGGGTTAAAGATTGATGAACCTTGTTGACAATAAAATAACGTCTAACCTTTTCCCTGCAATTGAGCTGCCTTCTGCACAAAGGTGTAATGCACTTGGAATTTCTCTGAGTTTTTTGTTCGATAACGTTACTTATAGGCTGACATAGCTACACTTGTAGCCTTTTGGAGGGGTCAACAGCCTACAAAGCTCGCGAGTATCAGTAAGAGGCTGACAAGGTTTGATGAGCGTGAAGTGATCCATTTCCACGTGAGACAAATACGGATAGTGGGTCGGTAAATCAACCATGGCTTTGAATAGCGCTTGAGAAGGTGAGAGAAAACCCCACAAACCAAACGTTTGCGGAGTCTGATGCCCACTTTGACAAGATTGCCCCAGGGCCGTTGCGCCGATGACTAGACGCATCCTCGGTATCTATCTCATTCAAAGAAGATGCACGCTAGCCTGGAACAGCGCTCCTACAAGTGGGAGAGAGTCCTGGTTTTGGTCCAGGCTCAGGTTTGATCGATCAATGTAAGCCGTACTGTTAAGAGCAAGAACACGTGGTGATAAGTTTTTTACTTTCGCCGTCGATGTCACGTTGCATACTTTGCACAAAGTCAAGTATCGTACGACGCTCTATCTTACGGATGCTCCGCCGAAGCTGGCTTGTAAGTAGTAATACAGGCGAGGCAATGTGCCTTCTTCACTCGGTGGTGAGATACTTTCCTACATTTTTGCCAGCATTCAGTCCCAAAAGTATAATCCTCATGGAACCTGCTCTGGGTGTACTCAGTAGTTTCGAACACTGATCAGAGAGCGCTTGTGAGGCGAATCTTGAGCGCTTTTTTGGATCTTTATTTGATCTGAAGTTAGGTGCTGGATTGATTCGCCCCGTTACGGAAGGCAATTTGTGATGATACGAATCCATAAGCTCAACGGATTGAATGTGATAGAGTCGCCGCAACTATTTCGCTTACAGACGCGCAAGCTCTGCTTGAACCCATTCCAGCTATTTATCATAGACTCGGGCGTCTTCGCAAGTTCGCGGTGGGATGACTCAAACCCCTTCGCTAGAAACGCAATTAGCAACCTATACCGGTGTGGAGTGGAACATTGAGAACATTTTCATCCCAGAGAGATTCCCACACAACGAGGTTTGCCGTAAGAGGCAAGCATTCCATAGTGGGACCTGGATTGTCACCGTGATTTCTCAAAACACCTAGGTTGTCATTTCGAGTATGAAATCAATGTTGTCAGCCGCGGGAGCCACGCTTATCCCTGCAGCCCATTTAAGCCACACTGGTACGTAAGTCGATGCGCCTTCGATTCTGGTTGGGCTCGTTCGGGAGGTATCAGAAGGTGCAACTAGAGGAGAAAATTACGTGCGTAATGGGAGATCGTAAAGTGTGTTTTTTGCGCAATATGGTATAATATGCTTTTGTCGGTTTTGGTTACGTACCGTATTGTGGTGTGCGTATATATTATACTATAACACTACCTGGCCTAAAGCAAGGCTCAAAGGTATCAAAGGACTAGTGTGGGTCCGACTTAAAGGGTAGATTTGTAGGGATACGTGCGATTGTACCCACACGCATTGCAATAAATAGGGTCATGCTATCGAAGATAGTAAATCAGGTATATTAAATACAAGCTTAAAGTATCGTATAATTTATACATGAATAATTTGAAATATGTCACTTTCAAAATTAAAAGGTCTAAATCAGGAAGATACTAAAATGGAAGAAAGAGGTAGTGAGGCTTTCAGTTCTGCTCTTAGGCGGACATTCGGAACCGCGCTTCGCGTGGAAATGCTCCTTGCTGAAACGGTATTAGCTCTTGTCATGATGGTCTGATGAATGCCTTCTGCAATTTGGAAGTGTTCTTACAAGCACCACAGATGATCGACGGAGGCACATACATCAAATTGACAGGCGAAGAAATCACCCCTTTGTTACTGGATGTTTTCAACCTTATAGCACGCCACGTGGTCAGCCAAATGGTTGAAGCGATGACGTCTAGGTATCTCACAATCTGCCTTGAGATTTTAAGGAGCTGCGAGCTGCATTCACTATTGGTAAAGGATAAGCTCCGCCGAAACTGGCGCTTTTTGTTTTAAAGCAGATTTTGAGCTGAATGTGAGCATTTATTGCTTTGATAACGACGTCTCTAGTAAAAAACCGCACATCGAAGTCACGATTGACGGTCAAGGAATAGGCCCTACTTGCGCTCAATTAATAAAAAATGTTCTGGTTGCAGGCCTCAACCTTATACGAATCGCGCGATAGGAGATGATCAGCTTAATGTTATATGGAATGCGAGGGACACTAATGAATCTATTTGCAGTGCATAGCAAAAGCTTGATTAGCTTCTTGTAGATAAGTGAAAATTGTCGTTTACGTTCAACAAATTAGCCTCGCCCTGGAACTGATCTCGAAAGATGACAGAATAGCGAATACCTTTCGAACCGTGCAAAGTAACTTTGATAGTGTCTAGCAAAAATATAGCAACGAATGGTTACAAGATTTGCGATTGTTTTACTTTAGTAAAGAGTCATACTTTTTATGGTCTCAGCCAGTAGCACACACTTGACTACATTTTCAGCGTTTCTGTATCCTAAATTAAATTTGTCCGCTCACTTTACTTCGCCGGCTCATTAGGTATATCGCAAATACTAAAGTAGAGGTTAAGCTAATTTCGCTGTCTTGAAGACATTTGGTCTCTCCATATCGCACGCATCTTCCTCGCGTAGAAGTACGCAGTACGCGCATACCCTTCGGTTTTTCCTGCTGCCTTGCACTCGGAGACGTCTAATTTGTATGCTCGATGATGAATTATCTAATGTGAATGTCGATCCCCCATATTGACTTCGAACGTAACTTCTGTACCATTCCAATGCTCTAAATCGATCAGCTAAATTTGCTCTCAGTCGTGTACGAACAGGTGCACTGCAACTGGTTGCATCAGCTGCAATGCTTGAGCTTAACTTTGTTGAACAATTGTCTAAATGATTAGATCGAAAGGATGAAAAGTCAATTCAAGAATTAAGTCGAAAGGTGTATGCACTTGTTGTTCGTACGTCATCATGCTATGAAGTTATTCGACAAAAGCAGATATTAGCAATACTGCCACTTAATGTCAATGGCATCCTGCTGCTTCTGACATTGCTATGGTATCTAAAAATCCATAAGTTCAGTCACATTCTGCAGCATTGGTAGCCACGTCCACAACAATCATTTATGCGGTACGGAGGATGATGTGCACTCCACTGTCCGTGTCGACAACGTCGCTCAACTCGCCCACCTTAAGTGCAAATGTAGCGTCTTCAAACGGTTTTTGCATCATGCCACGGCCAAAAGGACCAAGGTCACCACCGCGCGTACCGCTGTTGCAATCGCTAAATTGCTTTGCCAGGTCCTCAAACTTGGCCTGGCCAGACACAATCTGCGAGCGCAGCTCTGCATAGACAGCAATTTACAGTCAATAGTCATTCGTTTGTCAATTTCTTAATAACAATCATATATACCAAGTAGCTGTTGAATTGCTTCTTCCTTTGAGCGCGTAATGTTGTCAGACAGACGTGAAGCTGCAAATACAACAAAATAGTATCACGTATAGAATCTCTAGTATATAGCTGCCATGAATCGTATTTCATACCGGGACGGCGCGAGCCCTTATGCTTAATTAGCAGGTGAGATGCACGTACTTGCTCTGTTCCATCGCATACACAGCGTTAGACGTCGAAACAGTCTGCGCAGATTAGAAGCATCGCACCAGCCATTATTCGTATTACTATTTCCAAGCAGCAAATATCTTAAATCAGATTGATGTATCGAACATCAAGCTAGCATCTATTATCTTTGTGATCTATTAGTTGTCAATTTGATGTGGACGAAAGACTTTATGCGCGTGCTGCTGGGTGCCAGCAAAGTCGCAGAAGAAATTGCTCGTACCCAAAAACACGATGTCGTGGTCAAAAGCGGGCGGTTATATAAGCACGCAGTGGAACTGACTCGTTTAGGTCCTGTTCTCTTGAATCGAGAAGGTTCTATACCTCCTTCACCTACGACTGCTACTCCAGCAAAAATATTGCAAACAACACAGCAGGATGTCCAGCGGGAAATACAAGAGGAGACTCCAGTCGTTAAGGAGCAGAAACTGCCGATTAGTGAGCCGCCAAAGGATCTAGATGAACGGGTGGAGGCGAAGACACTTCAAAAGGATTCGATCCAGCTCACCAAGGTAGATGAAAAGAACGAGACCAAACCGAAATTCTCGACACCTTCAATTGAAGAAAAAGAGCCACCTAAAAAGGTGTGGGAGGAAAGACATGTGCCATCGTCTCCATTATCTCGTATCTTGGGTTTTGGTGGTCTTGCAGCGAGGTTGGCTGTAGGTACAGCGGCAGAGATCGTTCGAAGTGGCGGCAAAAACGGTACCTACAATGCGCTGGTATCTGATGCCAATGTTGAAAAGCTAGCAGAAACATTATGTACAATGCGAGGCGCGGCACTGAAGCTTGGTCAAATGCTAAGCATTCAGGACGAAGCCATGATCCCGTCAAAGCTAGCAGTAGCTTTAGATCGCGTGCGGGAAAAGTAAGTACCAGATTGATGTATATGTAATTTTGATCACGATGGAGTGTTAACAAATCGTGTTTTTTATTGAAGTGCACACGTGATGCCAAAGGATCAACTCCATCGTCAACTTGAGAATGAGCTTGGGCACGAGTGGCGCAGCAGATTTCAGGAATTTGACGATGTTCCTATTGCCGCTGCATCCATTGGACAGGTAGATACTTGCCTCGGTCTTTTCGCAGTGTTGATCTATGAGATTCTAATAAATAAAGCATTTTAACGATTCAGGTGCATCGAGCTACGCTTTTAAATGGCGACCGCGTGGCAATTAAGATTCAGTATCCAGGTGTTGCTGAGTCCATCAGCAGTGATCTGCTAAATTTGAAGAGATTGGTGACGTATACTAATATATTGCCGCGCGGGTTATATATTGATGAAATCATTCGTGTGGGCAAGGAGGAACTCACGGCTGAATGTGATTACGTTAGTGAAGCGCATAATCAAGAGCGTTTTAAGAAGCTGATTGATGAAAGTGGCATGAATAGAAAATATGTGGTACCGCGAGTGTATCGTGAACTATCAACGTCGCGCATCTTGACGACGCAATTGATCTCTGGAGTTGCAATTGACAAGGCAGTTCATCTTTCTCAAGAAGTTCGCGACAGCATTGCTCGTCGCATCCTTGAACTTACAATTTTTGAGCTCTTCAATTGGCATTTTATGCAGACAGATCCAAACTGGAGCAACTTCATGTACAATGCATCTACCGATACAATTGGATTGGTAGATTTTGGTGCTGCTCGTGAATATGCAAAGTCTTTCGTGGATGACTATTTTAATATCGTATGGGCTGCCGCGAACGAAGATGAGAAGACGCTCATCGATTACTCGATCAAGATGCGATTCCTCACTGGTGACGAGTCCCCAGGTATGTTGCGTGCTCATATTGCTGCAGGTATGGTAGTTGGTGAGCCCTTTCGGTCCCATGAGCCGTTCGATTTCGAGAAAAGCAAGTTGACTACCAGACTAGGCCAGCACACTGAAGTTTTTATGCACGGCCGTTTGACGCCACCTCCGCAAGAAGCATATTCTCTTCATCGAAAACTGGCAGGCGCTTTTCTTATGTGTATCAAGCTGCGTGCCGTCGTCCCTTGCCGAGATGTGCTTGAAGATGTTCAACGTCGATATTACTCTTACTAAACATGTTTAACACCAAGATAATAAACAATGAGCAAGTTTACAAAATGTGCGGAATTTGTACAAGGCCAAGACAGATATTGAAGATTCTAACATTTTTTCTACAGGAAAGGCAGCAAGACATATAGACTAGTTACGCTTTTGCCTAGATATTCTCAAAAGAGTCTCAGACTTTGACTTGAAGATGTTTCTAGCACAAATTCGCTTGGCTGCCGCGCCAAAACTAGAATGTCAGGCTGGCCTTCTAAGACTTATCGGTGTACGATTTTCAATCTCTGTGGTAGTGCGTTTATTCTAAACAAATACTTTTGTGTATTCTCATGAACGAGAAAGGGAGACTCTGTCACGCCGAGGATGGAGAAAAAATCGGAGAGCTCAACTCAAAACCAAGAGAAAGCTGAGGTTCTGGGTCAACCGGTGCAAAAGGTACTAATGATCATTGCTGAATAGTAGCTCTTCCTTTCTCAAGTGCCGAATCGACGTGGTACAGACAACTTTAGAAAACAGGATAGAAATGTGGAGCGTGGATACTCGTCCAGCTTTTGCTGCTGAAGATCAATTGACACATTATCGAACGATGCTTAAAGTTGGAGTCCCTCGTCCTGCTGTTGAGAGGCAAATGCTCAAGAATGGAATCAATCCTGCTGAATTAAACGGTCCAAATTTGAAAGGGAACATTTGTATCGAGAAGTGCCCTCAAACAGAGTCGGATGCTGTTGTGGTGGCTAAAACAATGCGTCGCAGATGGCACTGGAATGAAGCTTTGAAACCTGATGAAGCTGCTTTGACAAAGGAAAAATCGGTTTGGACTCAGTGCAGGAAAGAGGACGCACAGCGGCGAGTCTCTGTTTTGTCTCAGGCTCGCATTCACGAGCTCTTTGTGAAAGAAATTGACAATTCGGAGACCGACGAACGTGATTCACTGGCTTCGTCAACTAGTGATACTGATCTTTTTGTAGCCACGGAGCATCCTTTTCCATCAGCAAGAACAGAGAAGGTGCGAGTGATGAAAGGAACTAAAGGCACGAACCTTGAATTTGTCGTAAGACGTCTCAAGATTCCTTTCGCCCAGGTGGCGAAAGATATAAACATTCTGACGGCAATGTATCTGCAAGATACAGATATTAAAACAATGTTGGCCATGTGGCCCAGTGTGGCTGAGCAAGTTGTTCTGGATGAATTTTCGGGAGAATTTGACTTGTTAGGACGTGTAAGTTATCACGATGACTTTATATAATGTTTCATGATATCAAACTCAGTTGTTTCTTTTAGTGTGAGCAGTTCTTGGTTATGATTCGTAAGGTTCCGATGGTGAAAGAAAAGCTCCAATGTCTCCTACTAAAACAAGAACTTCGTTCGCGAGCTGAAGATCTGAAGTACGCTTAATGTTCTGACATCGATTAGCACGTCAACTTATTGACTTGTATCTGTGCAGACAGTTGGTGGATTTAGTGACTCGAGCTTTGAATCAGATTTGCTCGAGCGCAAAATTTGGTCGAGTGATCAGGCTTCTTCGTGATTTTGGTAATCTAGCAAATGAAGAACACGTGACGAATTTTCGAGCAACGTTCTCATTGCAGTCGCTATTAAGTTTGAATCACACAAAAGCATTTGATCAAAAGACTACGATTTTCGACGGGTTTTTGTATCTCCTACAGGTATGCCACGCACTATTCCTCGAACACTGTGCGACCAGATGTAATGTGTAGTTAACTCTTTTGTAGACGGAACATGATGGAGATCTTGCATATTTCTACGACGAGATAAATCTCATAGTTCAGTGCAAGGGCGTTTCTGTCAGCGGTCTACTATCCGAGTTCACCCAGCTTCAAGAAAGTCACTTTCTTGTCCAAGCTGTTGCCAAAGCAAGCAGCACTTCGTATGACGATGATTCAAAACTTGCTCACGATGCATTCAATCAATTTGCTGATGAAATCAATGACACGTTGTGTGGTGTGCAAGAAAGCTTCGACAACATGGAAGCGAGCGTACGATCTCGTGCTGACCACTTTCAGTACCTCTTTTTTAACAAAATGTTCTTTTTCGTGTCCAGAAACGAAAATTTGTGTCCTGGTTTGAAGAGAATCCAAACGTACCATTAGACCAGCACCTGAAGGCCATAACTCAGTTTGCTTCTGACGTTAAAAACAGATTCGCTGTTCTGAACAGTGCATTGCGACAGTGTCGAAATTAACTAGTTACAACCGTTGGCAAGACATTAGAAACAATTACGTCAGAAACGTCTTATGTGAGTTGAAACTGTCAGACGCGGCACGATCGAAAAAATGTGTTACTTGTTTAAAAGTTGAATTATGATACAGAGCTTCATTAAGGCGTGTATAAATTAAATGAGTACGAATGTTGCTGTGGTTTAGAGTCCAATCATAGCAGCGTTTTTGCATATAAACAGCATAAAGCGGTTGCGGCACTCTTGTAGCTGATCTTGCATGTCGACGAAAGCAAAGTGGTTATAGTGGACTCGGCATAGATACTGCATCATCCTTAGCATTTGCTGGCACATTTGTCGGATCTGGGGTACGGTCAAGGGCTCTGAAGAGGCCATGAGCTTTCCAATTTGCTCTAACGTAGTAAAGTAATTGCGCACAGCCGTGTCTTCGCAGCATAGGTCATGACACAAATCTATAGCCACGAGTAGTAAAAGCTCTAATTCCTCACGCAACAGTGTAGCTTCCTCCAGCACCATTTCAAATTCAAGCTCAGTCCACGAATACCGCGCGCGCTTTTCTCGACATTCGTCGCTTATGACGATTTTGCGCTTACGACCTGCAGAGACTTGAGGCGGCAACGACTGGCGATTATCAAAAAGCATCATATTGGAACCGTCGATGGCGAACGTGTGCGATCTGGTGACGAGAAGCAACAAATTGGGCTTCGGTTCTGTGGAATGAATTACCTCGACTTGTACTTGGTAAAGCACGTTAATAAATGAGCTGCTGATGCAAAAGCTGACAGAAGATGGGCGCCATCAAATATTTGGAACCGGATGGCGTGAAAAATTGCGCACTGTCGACGGGAAAGTAGGGAGCATGAATTTTTTTTCACTTGGTTTCAGTAAGTACTGTCGCTTGAAGCAACTTGTCGCGTCTCTATTTTCAGGGAACTGTTTTGCTCTTAGCCTTGTTGAATATGAAAATCCTGGTCCGTGCCTCTGTAAAATGTTGGCATCCATATGACCCAATTAATATCACCACATGTCTTGTCTGAATTATTTCAGTGGATGTGCTGCGTGATTCAAAAGAGAAAAGAAATCTAGAAAATTTCTGATCTTACTATTTAAAATTCTAAGAAAAAAAGTAGCACCTGGTACTTGCCGAGGTAGTTTTGCTTATCATGGGTATGCACAGACCGTTAGGTCAAATCGCATAAAATTCACTCGTCTCAGCCGCTATCAATAGTACTCACTTTGTACATCTTCGCTTATATAAGCGACGAAACTCATACCGCTCCGATCTGTTTTGCAACAATCTTGAAGTTCGTAGAAAATTTGAATACTAAAGGCTTTTATAAAAGAAAAAAATCAGCTCAGATTGTCAAGGCTGATATTCCTATTTCACCTGGTGGATGTCTTGATATTCTGAAAAAATGGAGACCGCTAGAAATCGCTACACCGTTGTTGACGGCGTGACGATTCTAAAAATTACTTGAAGGATTAGAACCGGCTATCAACTCAAGTAGTCAGAATATGGGTTCACTTAGAAGGATGTGTTTGACGCCTTGTGCTCGCACATCTTAATGCTAATGATCAGATACAGGCGCCAAATCCTTCTGTGCATGGAAAAGCGGTGGCGTACAAGTACACTTTATTGTCATTTGAATAAATACTAAAGCAAAATTTCATCACCCATAATATTTGTATTCAGCTTAAACTTGTTTGGCTATTTACTGCTTGCTTCATCCCGATGTGCAATAGTGTCACATTTTTGTTGATCATGAAATTTAGCTGCAGTTGGATGGGCAGCTGCGCTATCTTCATGACCGACAGTAACCATCTGCAAAGAAAGGGAAGGGTCAACATTGCCAGCGCCTCGCTCACCTCCATGATCAAATCGCACGTCTAGGATTTGTGTGGTTGAGTGCAGCACAAAATAAATTACCGTCGTGGTACGATTTTGTCTAATTGCACGATCCTCTGTTTCCTCGGCTTTTTACTCCTAGAAACTAGTGGTCTACCTTGCATCAACATATCGAGAGCCTTGCGGTTCACATATTCCCCCGTAGATGCGTCAAGCTGAAGTTGTCGGCCACCCACCAGAAACGTGTACACATCCTGGCCATCATACCCAAGTAACTTGACGTCTGTGACGATAACGCACATGAATAAAAGTCCGCACGATTCACTTCAAAATAATGAATAATTTTCGTACCTTTCGGATTAGCTTCCAGCACCTCCGTTGAGCCAATACCCATGACCAGCACACGCACAAATTCATTAGGGTCACCCACTTTTCGACATGACATAATATCCGTCACCACTTTGTCGCACATTCGCTTGGCCCCAAAATATACAGTGGCTGATGCACTGCAGATAGCTCCACTTGTGGCAAGTACCTCCATCATAAGGGCGCTAGCATCCGATTGATACACGAGACTCCCGGAGAGCAGTATTGAGCAGAACATCTGAAAGCGGCTCACTGGTCCTATCCAGCGCAAAATTTTTCCACCGCAATTTTGCACAATTATTGTTTCATGTATCTTGGAACTCTTCACATTAATAACAGGCTTAATGGAAAAGCTTCGCATCAGCGGAAGTGCTAGCGTAGCCATTCGCCGACGCAGCATATTTTTACTTGTCCTGAAATCATGTGCACCACCTCAATTTAAAGAAATTATATCAGATTTTTCAATTCCGCTTTGGCCATGACAGATTGGCGACCCGCACCCGCACGTACCAGCGTCTTCCGGTTCCCTTGGCTGCTATTTTTCTGGTGGGCACCGACAAAGCTTTGGCTACGTCGCTTGCTAAAATATTGGGTGCAACGGCCTCTCATGAGATTATGCTTGGGATCAATTCATGAAAATGATTATGACTTAACAATCACGGACCAGCATTATTCTGACGCCACACTTCCGTGTGGACTGGTTAATACTGGCAATTTGTGCTTTGTCAATGCAGTTTTGCAGTGCCTAGCTGTGGTTCCAGGGTTTTTGGATGGTGTGAATCGTGCGCTGCAAATGCGCACGCAGCTGCATCACGTACAGGAGATGGATGATGCCCAGACGCAAAAGCTGCTGGTAATTCAAACACTTGTAAGCCTCTTAGAAGGAATTCAAGCTGAACATGACGAAGATGAGGTCGAAGTTGAATCAGAGACAGAAGCAGGACAACGACAGAGACAGATCCGAAATGAGAATCACCAAAGGATGAAACGTTTTAAGTCAGCCGCTAGTCGATGTACCTACTTGATATCTAGTGCTGCCTCCCGACAAGAGCAGCAAGATGCTGAAGAGTTTTTGACGTTTTTGCTGGAATTGTTGCATGGTCTGCTGCGTGCTCCTGCACAGCCAGTGAGATCGGAAGTGGAAGAACGACGACAGTTTTTGCTGTCCGAACAGCGCATTTTAAACAGACTCAGGAGGTACGATCCGGATGATCCGAGATCGTATCTTAATGCTGTAGGTGAGTTTCTTCATACGAACGTGAAGCGATGCAACTGACCAATATGTGTGTTGTGAATGTTGCAAAGAAAATCTTGGTGACTTGCGGTGGAATTATTACTTAAGACAAAGCTCGTCAATTGTTACTGATCTTTTTTCGGGACAGACAGTGCGAGGTTCTCAATGCTGCAGCTGCGCCAAGCTTACATGTCTTCACGAAGAACAACGGTGCGTTAATTTATAGGTCTCGTTCTATAATTGCAGGGCTGAATATCTCTTTTACTGCATTTAGAGTCATTTCACTTTCAATTCAAGCAAGCAAGAGTGGTCAAACACTGGCGAATTGTATAGAAAGTTTTCGTCATACTGAGAAACTTACGGATGAAAACTGCGTGTTCTGTGATGGGTACTGCCAAGTCAAAACTGCGCGTCTCACTCAAACATTGTTTCATCGTGTGCCACCTGTACTGATTCTCACGCTGCAAAGGTTTAGACATACATCGCTGGGAGGGAACATCGAAAAGGTGAACACTAAAGTGAGCTTTCCGTGCGAAAGCGGCGATTTGTTAGACCTAAAGCAAAGTTGTTTTCGTCGTGATACCGAGGAGCGCACTGACTTCGAGCTCATTGCCGTGTGTGCTCACCTTGGGGGATCAAATGATTCCGGTCACTATGTTGCTTACGTGAGGCATCGTGGTACCCGTGGGGACTGTAAACAGTCTGATCAGTGGCTTCGGATTGACGACGATGTAGTCACTGTGATAGATGTAGTGAAGTTTCGGGCCGAAACGGAGACGACTGCGTATCTGCTCTTTTATTCGTTAGTGACCAGTAGTATAGAAATGTAAAATTCAGAAGACTATTATTTTGAGACTAGAGACAACGGAAAATTCAAAAAATTGTGTTTTATGATTTATCCAGTTTCCATAGCTGATTATGTCATACATAAAAATCGTTGTAGCTGCACATACAGATCTAAAATCCACAAGAACAATCGCTTAAAAATTGTGAGCAGGACGAACCGTGTCTATCGGCGCCGCAGGATGAGAGTCAGATTTTAATGTTCAGCCGTTGACCAAATGTCGTATAATTGTAGAGTGTCCAGTCAGCTGCAGCGGGGCTGCCGAAGTTTAGCGCTTGAAGAAGCGTAATTTAGGTCACCGAACTTTCTTTACAAGAACCAATATGAGTGAAGCGATTTTCCTAAATATATATAGTAAAATCTAAATACATGCAAAACTACTGGCTACCTAGCCACATACCGTATTCTTGTTTAGGTGCAGTCACACCATGCCCATCTCGTGTGACACACACCCCAATTACCAGGGTACGAGTAAACCCGTTACAACATCTGAGCCGTAGTAGCCTCGCCTGACCTTCTTCCAGCGCTTAAGAGGGTCCCATTGAAGTTTCAGCCTCAGTGATTTTCTACGCGGTATTTTTCACGCAGAGACACGTCCGAGTAACATTCATTGGTGTCTGAGAGCGACTGTCCAAGAGGACACCGAATAACTCGGATACGAAACTATTTGCCAAATAACGTCTTTTGGCTGTATGGCACATCTCTAAAGCGTCTGGTAACCCGTTTGAGGCTGCCGCTGAGGGTAAGCAAGTATGTGTTGGTGGAAAAGCTGTCTTCCTTTGAGGGCTTGTATCTCCATTCTCGGTACAAACGATTGCCGGTAAATCATCTGCTGTAGCTGTCTGTTATTTGAGAACTGGGAAAGCGATATACTTTCTTAGGTGAATAGTTAACAACCACGCATCGAAAAGATTGACTGGGATACGCCAGCTGTGTTCTCGATAGAAGTCGCTTTTCAATTATAAGACTCTTTTTGTGATTACGCGGTGAAGGCAGGAACTCCGATTATGTGGCTAACTACTGCTTTGATTCTGCTTAAATTCAGAAAATCTGAGTTTTCTTGTTGCAGCTCAAGCGCATCACGTGTAGCAATCGCTAATTGGTCATTCAAGGCTCCATAAAAATAATTCAGCCATCAGCAATCTTGACTAAAGGTGATGGTGTAGTATTAATGTTGGAAGCCTCGATCTATCAGACGGCGCGAGCTTGGAAAATAGCCTGTAGATCTAGATCAAGTGGATAATCACAGGTGATACTTAAGATCAGCGTATGAATTAATCGAGTTGCACGAAACAGTGGAGAAAAAGATTGGCGTAACAGGATGATGTCATCTGATTGCTGCGTCAGATTGTTTGTAGGGTTTAATTAGCATTGATTCGGTTGCGCACCGAAACATTATGACTACTTCGTTAAACAGCAAATAAAATATAAGTTGTTCACATTCTGACATGGCATAGGCCATATGCGTCTTACTTTTGTTTGGGGAATCTCAAAACATACCTGCCGGCGGCCAGCCCCAAGGGTATTAACGGATAAAACAGAAGCTAAGATAGACGTACTAGAGAAGGAATTAGAGCTGTTGGCTGATCTTGAGGAGCGAGGGAAACGCATAGAAGTGCTAATGGGCCACAGATAAATCTACGGTCAAATCAGCCTCAGTCGCACTATGTAATAGAATAGCGTTGAAATGACAAACGTAAGAAGCGCTGCTCACAAACATTTCCTTTATTAAAACACACACGCTTGTGCAACAAGGAAGCGATTCCCGACGTGATGGGAGAAGGATAGTTCGACTTAGAGGGAAGAAGAACGACTTAAGATTTTAAGGGTAACTTTGCAGATAAATCAAAATGAGTTATGGTTCTAGCTACATGCAGAACTCAACAATCGGCTCCTAGATGTTTTACTAATAAAGCGCTCCTAATTTTTAAATCAAGGGTGTACTCTGGTTGAACCTCGGATTCAACTTTACAACATCTTTAGTGTTAAACTAAAAAAAATGAATCATTATCTTTTGTAGAACGTATCTAGAAGAAGTGACTGGCTGATACCACCCATTTTACAAGACAAAGACACGTCATTCTCGTTACCAGTAAAGATTATCATGTAGGAACCAGCTTTCTGTCTCACATAGAACATGTGTGATGTCGGGTTTTCATTTGGGAATACATTTTGTAATCTTCTTTGATAAATTTTAACAATGCATACAAAAGGTACAAATTTATACCTTCGTGTAATGACTAAGGGAAGTCCTGACAACAATCCCTGAAGAAAATATAGCTGTATAAAAGTTTCGCCGAACGTCGCTGACGACGTTTTGGGAATAAAAAGGCCGAATGAAGATTCAAGACAAGCGGCATAAAACGAATTGACAGCTCAACCACGTACGTAGGATACCGAAGCGCAACATGTCGTCGCGAGCGGTGCCCGACTCTGTTTCATTGGTCTAACGAATCCAAAGTCGACATACTGGAGCATCACCTTGTCCGGATGGCGGAAAGGTACTACAATCAATAAGATGGCGTATAGTGAAAATAGCAGTCTGTCTTCGAACGCGCAATGGCGATGTTGTTAAGATTGTTCACTGCCAAGGCATGGAGATCGTTACTTCAGTAACAAGCGATAAGAGCAGCTGGATAAACATTTATTCCATCAAGTGACACTGAGTGAAGCTTGTGAGTCGCAGATAACCTTGTGTAGTGAAGCTTGTGAGTCGCAGATAACCTTGTGTTAGATGATCTTATCTACTATGCAAATCTAGCGACAAAAAAGTCAGTACTCATTTGACGCGGGAGGGCATTCTGCGGTAAGCGGACGATCTAGCGTACTTTGCGCAGTCTACATAGACCAAAATTAGCTACAGGAGGCTGGAAACTGTGGTGACAAGTATGACTTGAAAACAGCTAGAGATGGTACGGGAGTGTGTATCAAATGAAGAGAAGACTGTGTAGCAGATCGAGTAGACTTTTAATGATCAAGTTAAGCTTCCTAGAATATGTTGAAAGCTATAGAAGGTGGTCGGCGAAGGAGCGATCGGCAGCGTGAAGTTATTGACATCAAGGTTAGGTAGGAAATTCAAGTTCGAGTGGAGATGTGGTTCGTAGAAAGTCGAAGAAAAACAAATTTCATGCAGACTACTACCCAATAGGTAGGTAAAACGAGCTAACATGTCACGGTACCGAGCGGGTCGTGACCAGAATGATCGGATATTTTAAGGCCCGTTGTGAAAAATTGTATCAAGCGTTTATAGTGCACGTGTTCGAGACTTTAAAAGAACATTTATGCGCACAAGGCAAACAATCAAGGCAGAAGACTCGTGCAACTTTGCTGCGATTGGCGTGGCTGAACAAATATTACCGTACCTCACAAAATAAAAGCCACTCAAAAAGATCACCTTTTCTGATTTTCGTTCACCTCTTAACATTAAGGTGATTTTTGTTTAACAAAAAAATCACCACATGGGTAA